CTATTATTAATCCATAGTGCTATTTCCAGTACAAATAAATGTAGTCTGTTTAGAGGATCAAGATATGCCAATTTCTGAGCTAGAATTAAAAAACTACACTGCAAAATCAGTTGTTTGTAATTTCATATGCTTGTGGGACTTTACAAACTACCAAAATCCATGTACTATCCCTAGCTAGGTAGCAGGAGCTGAGAAAACTGGGTGTGAGCACTACTTAGAGAAGTGTAGGTGGCACTATCTTGTGAATTTCTGTTGTCAGCCCTAAAGTTGTGAGCCATAAGTGAACAAGTACCTAAGCTTTTTCTGCTGTTGGAAATGAAATAACAGGCCATATCACCACAGGGATGCTGGTACAAAGCACAGCGTCCTCAAGCATCTCAGTGGTATGCTAAATGGGGAAGAATAATATATTTGTTGGAAATATTTCCCAGTCCACATTTCAGGGGTAGAATTAGTACTGTGCTTCCTTTACATATAAATATAGTTCACTGAAGGAAGAGATACTTCACTTGGATTGACTCTATCATCATTACCCTGCGGGGGGTTTTATTTACCCGTAACTTTAATGTCAGCCATGGCTTATAAAACAAAGTGAGATAAGCTCTCCTGTGAATAGGATTGAGACAGTTGACCTGCACTGGTGGTGGTGCCCCCATGTCATCTCTGATCCCAGTATCGGGAAAATAGCTACAATCACGTTTATGTTAACATTTGTCAACAGCTCTTGGATTATCTGTTCTTCTTGTATCTACCCCATAGCAGATCCTCAGCTGGCGGGAACAAAACAATTCACGTGAACTCATTTAGAGTTAATAATTTTAGGTACAGGTAATAGAATAACAAGTTTTAAATCATTGTTAGCTGTGGAAAAGCTAACAGAATCCCGTATCTTCCACACTACTTATTATTGAATCTCTTACCATCTTACCTCTACTGTGTATTGAACACCTCTGAAGCTCAGATGTGTAATTTGTGATCCTGAATTCTAAAAAAAAAAGGCTCTGTCTCTGTTACTAGGTTCTTCTATTTCAGCAAAGTTAGTTTTATTATCTCAAAGGGCTTGTTAGCTTCATGCTAGCATAGGACCCTTTATTGTTTCCATGGTCCCAACAAAAGCAATACTGCTTTCAGTCAAAAGACTGGAATCCTGTAAATTATTTTTGATCACATGGGGGCATGTTCTGATGGCTTTCAGTAATTTAGTGCAGTGGCAAATGTGATAGTCAAAAGATAACAGTGAATCTCAAAAATAGGTCATACAATGCTATTTTTGACATCACTATTAAAATATAAATATAAGGCTCATATGATGAAAGTCTTTGCTTAAAACTTGGTAAATAACTTACTGGTGAACCACAGATACCGTTGGAACATCCATGAATATGGCTATCACAGTTTCCAGTCTGTGATTCAGTTTTCTCTGAGTTAAGGAAGGCATCTTCAAACTTAGCCAAGCTGAGGTTTTTGAATGAAAACATACAGTGCGTTCATATCTAATTTGTGGACAGGATTTGCTGATGCCCATGCTCTTTATTTGCTTTGTAAGCTCTTCTTTTACCACCAAGAACTTGGGCTTCTTCTGAGGTATGGAAAGCTTTATCACTGACTGCATAAAACGTGGCTTCAGTAGAGCTTCTGAACCAACAAGATGCAGTACCATATCTATGGGTTGTTGATTTTTAAATTATGTTACATTTCTCCATCTGTTTTTTATCATTTAGATTTTAAGACCAAGTTCCCATAAAGGAAATTAATGTTAGAGCAAGTGTATGGTCACATCATTAATAAATATAATAAAGTATTTTAATTAAAGTGCTAACATAGGAATTAACAAGTGCTAAGACTATTGAGAATTTGTAATCATTTGTTATTGAAGTAATAATATGATCATGAGAATACTAAGTTTATGCAGTTTTTCTAAACCTTATTGCTTTGCCCAACCTTTGCTTATGTTTATTTGCAGATCAAAGTGCAAGCAATGATCAGAGATTCACAGGCAGTGTGGTTCCTTCTAGGATGAGAGTTAGTGTTAATAAACTGAAGGTTTATACACAGCACTCAAACACAGAACTGTTTGTCTCTTTTATTAAAAACAAAACCAATAAGAACAAAATGGAAAAGGGAAAAAAATAAAAAACAGGGACTGAAAACTCAAGGCGTTTGAACTTCTGCAGCTTCTTTGTTACAGGAGGAGGTCAGAGGAGCAGGTAATTGCCTTCTCTGCTCTCACAGAAATACTGACACTCCCACTGATTTTTCTTCCTGCAAGGCATTGACAGCGTTGCTTAGCCCACTGCAGGCAGAAAAGGCTTACATGTGGTTATTCAGGCAGGCAGCCGGTGTTCGCTTAGGCAGTAATCCCCACAGATTTTCAAAGGGTGCTGTCCTCGAAGGTGGTCCCCCTGGCGTTCTCATGAATAAACTGGGGGGGCACCTGCACAGAAATTACACTGCCCCAGACTCAGCTTATCCCTGTATCTTGCACTTTGCACTTTGGCAAATTAAATTAAAAGCCCTGTTGTAGTAGTCTTGAGGGAAAAGTGTGAAAACATATATATACACACACACACACATATATATGTATACACACACATGGTTATGGTTTAATAATAACTAAAAGAGAAATGGTCAGAAATATATCAAGAATATTGGATTGTTCACTGATCCAACTAATCTCTTTGATCATTGCTAGCAGCATTTGTGTCACTCAAAAATTGGAAAGATACAGTGAAACCTGCAATTCTCTCCGACCCTATGAGACAATCAGCTGAAGTGTTGCTAGCCAGAATTGAGCAGTTTCTTTCATGTGTGCTTGATGCTCCTTTTATGTAATCAACAATTTACCTCAGTAATTTCTTAAAGATGTGAATTCTTATGTTGGACCAAAAAAATTGGTATTAACAGATTTCAGTTTGTGATGAAATTTTATGCCAGCAGAATTTGAAGCTGGCATCCAAAATCCTGACTGGAGTTTGGAAAGGAAAAGGATAGTTTTATCTGGCTATTTTAATCTCCCCTACTTTAAACTGGCATTCTAGTTTCAGAACATTTGGAAAAGATTTAATCTTACTTTTTTTCTCCTCCTTTTAAACTGAGAAACATAAACTGGATGGCATGGTTTTATTTAATTTCTTCAGAATGTCTAAATGCAGAGACACTAATGACAGGCCATAATATCTGAGATTGTCTTGTAGGTCTTTGCTGTTGTCTAGAACCTTCTTTGATGATAACACTAGTTCTTATACCTAAATATTCAGCAATTTCTGATTTTACCTACCATTTTGCATCTGAATTCCTTTTGTTCCTGCATGTGAAGGTTTCAGGATTACATTGAGTTACCTCAGTGTTTGGTTTGCTGATCTGCAGTGAGTTAGGAAATATGAATGTTGCCCTGTTCGGTATAGTGTGGTATAAATCCATCTGCTAATCTTTTGTAACATTTTGATTTCATGAGAGCAATCAGATACATTTTGGAGAGAACATGGTTGAGTTTTTTTCTGAAATACCTTTAAGACTAACAGATGTTTAACCTTGTGATTTAACTTCGTAATCTTTTCCTGGAATAAACTGCAGGATAGATAATCAAAATATTTCAAGTGTGTTATTTTAAAACATTTGTATAAATATCTTTCTTAACATAAAATGTGTTTTTTATTAAGAATAGCTATGGGTTATGTAGTGGTCTGTCTTCTACTCCGTGTTTTACAGGTGCACACCTAGCTGCTCAGTGGGTTCACAGAAGTGTCATGGGACAAAAATATTTTATTCAGTTTGCCTCTATGCAACCACAGGGAGCAGCAGATAGTGGACCTTAGAGCCACCTGAAGGCATACCTATGTATTTTCCCAGCAGTCTAGACTTGGTGAAGAGTGTCAAGGAAGGATTAGGGTCTGTGATGATGATGATGAGGGTATGAGCCTTGTTGAACAATGAATTACCTCCCTGGAGGTCCTGATGCTGTTTGCCAGGGAGCAGCGAGGGTTGAGCTGGGTCAGGGATGGCATGGCACGCAGGGCAAGGGACTTGCCAGCAAGGTCCCCATCCTGTAGGCCTGAGGCAGGGGAGAAGGGCAGGTCTGGTAGCCATAGCCAGGGCCAGGCATGGCCCAGGTGTGGCTGAGCAGGTCTGTCGTGAGGAGACCGGCCATGGTGGGGCTGGGGAGTCAGCGGGCTGCTCAGCAGGTCAGGACCAGCAGGGCCCACAGATGGGCTGGGCTGTGCCATGGCAGGAGCTGTTGGTGTGGCTGGGCCCTAAAGGCAGCACTGCAGCTTGAGAGCAGCTCCTGCAGCAGGGGCTGGCCATGGCTGAGGCCCCACGACAGCATGGTCTGTGTGCTCCCCATCCCAGGTGGTCAAGGGCCGTAGTTTCAGAGCCCCGGCAGCTCAGCTTCCCACCGTAGGGGTTACGGTTACTGCCATCGTCCTGTCCATCGTCAGCACCCTGCGCAGCACAGGGTTGCCTTTCCTCTGAGGAGCTGTGACACGTGTTGAACATTACTGTCTCTTTGCAGTCGCTGCATTTTACTGTCTCCTTGGTGCATCTTTATTTAGGCTGTGGTTGTAGCCTCTGTGCAACAAAAATGTTTGTAAAGGAAGAGTCAAACAGTATCCTGCTCTGTTAGTAGGACTCCATGACATGTTATCATGCTGCTGTGCATAGAAAAGCAAGTAATGGTGCAAAAAAATCATCTGACTTCATTTAATGTTCAGATATGGGCTTCAGAAAGTAAAAAAGGGGATGTTGGCTTGTAAAAAACATTTGGTAAGATGTCTGGTTTTTACATGTCCAGAAAGAGCAGCAGCTCCCCAGGAAACACAGGACACTTTCAACAGCTGTCATATAAATCAGATGTATCTTTGAGAGTGATCTGTTCTCAAAGTAAACACTTCCTCTTAGGAAATCGCTACCATTGTGTATGAGTTGGGAGGGATGTGTAGACATGTATCACATAGCTGTACAGGGATGTTTACCAGCTTCACTATGTGCTGTTTTTGTGACAGATCAAATCCAATGGTGAGCTGCTCATTAAAAACGTTCAGCTGCGGCACGCAGGGAGGTACACGTGCACTGCTCAGACGATTGTGGACAACTCCTCGGCTTCAGCTGACCTTGTGGTAAGAGGTAAGTTTTTCCAGGTAAAACAGAAATCTGGCTGGTTTTCACCTAGATAAGCAGGTTGCTTAGAGAATGCTACTTCTCATCAAGAAATGACAGAAATTAAAATGAAAAGTGCATGAACATGCAAAGTCTTAAAGTCTACTCAGGGTACTGATTTTATTCCAGACGTTTAGAAGTCTAACTGAGCGTGTGTTTATGGAAATGTAATAAAGATTATTCTGTTACAGGTATTTTTCTTATGTTGAAGTAAGTTTTAGACTGTTTAATTTAGTGTTCATTATTAAAAATAGATTTTAAGCATCATTTCAATGTATCCACTGTATAACATTTTTAAGAAGCCACTTCTGTTTTCTTATAAAGCTTCATGGATTAAATTACTGTGTGTAATGCTAGGCCTATGATAAAAGGATTCGTGGTTTTCAAATGACAGAAACGAGGAGGCTCTCACTCCATTGTTAACTGATTCATGTCTGTTAAGTGTTACTTGGATCTCAAAAGACTGTGCTTGCTCATAGGGTAGGTATCCTACAAGATCTGTTACAATGTTTCAATAGTGTGAGTTAATTCATGTCCTTTGGGCATTTTACTCTGTTTTGTGCCTCCAGGTGTATCACATTCTTAAGTGGTAATACTCTGTAATGCTGCCAGTTTAAAGCAGACTTAACTTGTACTTGGGGCCGCATTGCTGTTATGGTTTGCCCCACATTACGGTTATACTGTAGAGCTGTATGGCAGCTGAAGTATACCTTGTGCCTTGATTTTGAATTTCTGTCATCTGAGGATGTTATGGACTTAAATATTTCTGGTTTTTAATTTTTGCTGGGTTTTAACAGCCAGTGAAATGTCACCAGTTTTGGATGAAATGTCTAAGTAAATATAAGTGGTGAAACTGCAGAATACATCTGCAAAGAAAAGGAGAAGGGTTGGTTCATGTGCCTTAGTATTATGTAAGCACTTTCTTTCAAAAATAAAATGAGACAAGGTGCCTTCTCAAGCTTCTGATTCTCCTTCCAACACAGTAATTATAATTAGAATCGTTGCTCTGAGGTTAGATTGTGGAAGAAATTGGCATTCATTTTATGCTCAACATTTGGGTTTTTATTACAATGAACACAGTTCTGCTTAGTGCTGCGTAAGTCTCACTACCATTTTTGTCAGTGGAAGACTGAGCATCTTACAGGGGCAAGGTTAAATACCTGATGAAATATGGCAAGGGTGACATAGTTTCACTGCGCTGGTAGGATAAGGCAACAGCAGAGTATGAAAACACAGAGCTAGGTTCCAGTGTGTCTCATCAGTGAAGCAGTAAAGGACAGCTGCTGTTCATGCAGGCACATGAAGATATTTTGTCTGTCCACAGTACAGTTCAAAAGTTCATATGGATTGTCCTATGTGACATCAGTGTATTAACATTGCTGTTGTGTTCAGGAGAATTGCTAGCGATCCTGGTATGCTGGAGACTGTCAGGCACCTGAGCGCACCAACAGACCATTAGTGTACTGATCAGCCTCACCCAGGACACCAACCCATGCAACTGCCCATGGCCCAGGAACCCTGTTAAGCTCAGCCCTGGCCCTTCAGCCCTGAGTGGAGGTGCGTGACAGACATGTCTGCTTCTAGGTCTGTCTCTGGCCCTGCCTCCTGGATGGGCTTCAGACCTGTGCTGTAGGTAGATTGTCTCCTGGATGGACTGCTTGGATATAGCTAGTAGTTTGTCACCAGGATGCGTCTGATTCATTGCTTGTGGTATCTAGGACTGCTGTATCAGCATCCGGCTCTGCCCACCGTATTCAGACCTTGTGGTACTTTTCCCCTGCTGTCAAAGGAACTGCCAGCCCTGGGATTACTCGATGGTCCCAGCTCAGCTTTCCTGAGGGACCAGCTGCCCCTTGGTGTTTCCTGACATAGGCCATTTTCAGAAATTTTGACAGTGAGGTGAGAAGCTGTAGGAGAGATGACCTCCTAAAGAAAGAAAGAAAGAAAGATCTTGGGAATGATGAACCTTTCTGTACCTTTCAGCTTGAGGGCTTCTGAACTGGACAGTCTTGCAGAACGGGTCCCTCAGGCCTTGCCTACCTGAGTCTTTCCAGCTGGGCTATCACATATGCAAATTAGCAGGGTGGAGAGTTGACTAACTACCCTCATCTTAAAAATCAGCTCTTAGCAACAACTTCTACCTTGTTCATCCTGTGTGAAGCATGCAGTAAGGTATTTAGCCCTTACTTTGAAAGGCAGGTCTGGGAACAGCTAATTAGTAGGTTAGTTTCCAATGCCATTTTTTGGATTTTAATAGAAGTTCATTATTATACATCCAGTAGTCAACTGATGTACATTTTTCTAATATACTAAATGGGATCTAGTCATGGATCTTAGGAGACGAAACAATCAGGAATTTCACTGTCCAAGTCATGTGCTGTAAGCCCAGTAGATTGTGTGGACTGGTCACGCTTATTTCTTTTTGAACAATAGCATATACATTCTGTAAGGAACCAATCTAACTTTAAATACTTTTGGAGTCAGGAATGGAATTGCTTGCTTGTTAGAAGGATAAATTCATTGAAATTGAGGAACAACAATATATGGTAGCATATTTGTTAGACTCAGTTAATTTCATTTGATTCCTTTTCCCAGATTTATGGAGAATATAAAGAGCTCAAGAACTGAAGATACATTTGGCACGCTCTGTGTTTAGATCTGATGTAGAGATCTTACTCCATTCTTTTTGTGGAGTTGTTTTTGTTTTGTTTTGTTTTTCTGTGGTTTCTCTGTAAATAAAACATATCCCAGAAAAATATATCCTGTTATTTCTTGTTGATTTTTTAATATGCTCTGTGACTTGTTCAGTCAGATTGTTGGATAATTACCTGAATCATGTTGGCATATTATTATCTCTGAATGCGGAATCAGAAAATACTTCTCAATAGTTCTAATGCATTGTCTCTTTTTTTACACAACAGTCAGTGTTTATCACATAACTGTGTGTCGTATAATGCAGGAGCGTGATTACAAAACCAGAAAAGTCAATATGAAAAGAATGATCTGAAAATATCTATAGACCAAGTTTATAAGTAGGTACTAAGCTTTGGGTTACAGAATTAATGTAAGTTTGAGGGGTTTCAGCAAAGCTTACTGAATATTGTGGTGACTTTTACAGATGAAAATTCCTAGACTCACATAGGTATGCACCTGCATCTCATCTTAGCTTTCTTGTTTATGAAAAAATTACCTGTGCCTGTTGATCTGCACATTTTAGCCTCTCTTCTGGGGACCAAGGCACAGCACAGCAACGATAAAAAAGTTCCATGCACAGAATGGAGAATTAGGAGTAGTAGTAATTAGAATAAATTTTTTAAAATTTAAAAAATTCAGAGAAATGCAAGCATTCACTTCAGCAGTTTTTGTCAATTCTTATTGTTTAGAAACAAACCAGGTGAGGTTGGGTGAAGAGATAAAATGCCATTTGTTAGGTTTAGTGATACACCTGGAAAAAACAGGCAAGTTTTGGGAACAGAGACCAATCTCTCTAGACCTGAAGTACAGCTAACAAAGCGAAATATGGATTGAGAATAATTTTGGTTATTTTAACATAGATATTCTAAGTAATTGGTTTGAGCAGAAATAATATTTAATACTTGAAAATCATAGAAATGAGACTGTGGACTAGTTTAGGACAAGCAACTTCTACCCATAATGATTTAGCTGAGTGTTGGGAGCATAGTAATGTGTCATCAAGCCAACATCTGTATTTAGCTCATGACTTTTTATATTCAGCATAACTATGAATTTTTAATTAATCTTTTCAAGTACCTGTCTTTTGAAGAAAAAGGAAGTACTCTTTAGAAATTACTTCATAGGTCCTTCTTGATGGTCAGCACTGAAAGGGCAGATGCAGAATGACTGTTGTATGAGAAGTGGTTTTCCTCTGACAGCTTATTGCTTCTGTGCCTTGGTGAGGATCTCTGTGAGGTTATTCTGGTGCACACAAGTTGTCCTATTTCACCCATGGAGTTCACAAGACTGCTTTTAGTTCAGGTGTAGTGGATTCCACCTTTTGGCATGGATTTTTGAAATTCTTGTTGTGGGAAGGCTTTTGTTGAACTGCCTAGTGCCTGAACTCAAATGATATTAGTCTGTAGGCAGTTTGATTCTGATGATGGTTTTACCACATTGGGGTAATATGAAGGCCATGAAGAGGAATGTGAAGAGGTCTATAGAAATGTCTTACAAGGTGATTTTTCTCCAACCTAAGTTACAAAATTTTCCGTATAAATTGCAGTCAAGGCCAATATGCACAAGCAGAAGTGTAGATTAAAGGTGGGCCGTCATCTTCAGGTGGAATTTAGGAAGGAAGATTTTCTGTGGTTTTTCTGACTCTGAGTTTGCTGTTGTTTGAAAAAAAGAGCAGCCATCATTTCAAAGTACCATTTTTTCACTTAAGAAAATCTCAATATTACTACTTAGGCAGGAGTCATGGAAGTTTCATTTAGTACCTGTTAGATGCAAGAGCATCTGGATCACCCTGTAGACTGTTAAAATGTATATATACATTTTCAATCTGTTCATAAGTAGAAAGTGAGGCTCAAAAGTTGTGTATCTGATAAATACAAGTAGAGAAGTTAGTGAACTTTCATTTTCAGAACATTTAAATTGTGAATTGAACTACTGATGTGTTTTTCCTCAGGTCCTCCAGGCCCTCCTGGAGGTATAAGAGTCGAAGAAATCAGAGACACTGCTGTAGCACTTACCTGGAGCCGTGGAACAGACAATCATAGCCCTATTTCAAAATACACTATCCAGTCAAAAACCTTTCTATCTGAAGAGTGGAAAGATGCCAAAACAGGTAAGAGTAATGCCAGAAGTAAGAAAGTCAATAGGTTTTAAAGTGTTTGATTGTTAGAAAGCTTGGCTAATCAGAAAATAAGCATGATAAAAGTAAACCAGGGATGCTATTAATGTCTGCCATAGGGTTTAGGAGCAGGTACCACCTCGTCAGTGTCTTGTCAACAGGTTTGTTCCCAGCACTTGGAGGGCCTGAGCTGACTATCAAGAAATACGGAAAAGAACAGGCCAAAGTTTTTATCTGGGTTTTCCCTCTTTCCTTGTTGCTTGAAACATTGAACATTTACTACTCGAATCATTAAAAATTATTTACAGGTTAATTTGGATGGCAAATGGGTGTTTTCATTTCTGTATTTGTTATAGAGAAAATTGGCTAAAATAGTCTGCTTTTTCCTGGGAGGAGGCTAAGTTCCAGTTGTATTAAAACTGGCATCCGTAGAGAAAACATAGCTAAGATTATCCTTCTAACCACTGGATGTCATCATTGTGCCACATTAATTGCAGTTCAGGAGGCACCTACCTGAACACAGGGCATGCTAATGTATCTTTCTTTGCAAGATTTGACGTAGGTGCATAAATTATGAAAATATTTTTAAACTACTAGTATCTTTAAATGCTTTATGAGGGATAGCATTGCCACAAGCTATACAGAATTGTCCTATCAGTATGATTCATTATGCCACCATAACAAATTATAAGTTAACTGCTTTTCTGTGGAATTAGGGCATCACATCCTCAGCATTTCTAAATACTAAGAATATGAATATTTTCAGCTATTGTATTTCATTTAAGTTGTTCTTTGAAACTACAGAGATAGATGTGTGAGAAATAGACTTTTGACATACTGACCTGAAAATCTCTGTCACGTTTTTAGAGTAAAAAGTTAAAAATACTAAGCCTACTGCCTTCAGTCATATTTCTCTGCCAGAATATGTAGGATATGTACCTCTATTGTATATAATTCCTCAAACAGACAGCACTAGTATATGACATGTTAAAGCAACTTTTAAAATGAGACTAGAACATTCCCCAGTCCCTTTCTATCTCTTGTATCTTCTTTAATAGTTTATGTAGAATAGATTTCTTTGAACTTTAAAAAAGTAATTAATGTAGAAAGTAGAGCTGTTCAAATAACTGATGACTTGATTTAGTAATAATATACACAGGAGGGAGCATCTTTATTGACCAGCCTCTGTTTTTTTCAGGATAATTTATAGATTATTTCCTATTCTTTTTTCTTTTTTCTTTTGAATTAAAAAAATAAAGTAATTGGGAAGAAATGAGGCTATAGGAAGAATTTGTGAACAGTGGATGGCAGCTCTGATTCTGCTTCCTTTTGTGCTGCATGTGTAGGAGATGTAAGGGTTAAATTCAGATCTTCACTCTGTTTTTTCAGAGCAGACACTTGAACCCGTATCTCTCACTTCTCAGCAAGACTCTCTTGTTTGCAGTGTTATGGGCATGATGGGATGCCCTTCTCTGCATCTCGGAAGTTCTTTTGTTTCACAGAATTAATGAGATAGTTATTGAGATGTGCAGTCAGACACTGACTCTATTCTCTAGCATGTTGAGTGGAATTCATATTTTCAGTGGGACAGAGAGGAATCTAGATTGTTGAATTCCATTTTTAGAAGCTGTCAGGAAAGTTATGAACTACTCATTTCTGAAAAGTCGAAATGAACTATTCTGGTGTTTTAAAAAAAAAAAATTTTTTTTTCCACTTGAACCTCACTAAGTAATTTTGATTACTAGATGATTCCATCAAAAAAAGCCAGATAAAATCACCATAGTAACCATCACTGGCATCACTTCAAGCTTTTACGTAATTTCTGGGCTCCTTGCAGTTTGGCTCACTGTTTGCTTTCATATGAAAGAAGTACGATGAGCACTCCAGACTGATCTCTCATCGGCATTTAGGCTGTCATTTAACGCTGCTAATTTTCAATGTGTGGAACAAAAATATACTTTGGCATTGCACTTTGGAAATACTGTTGTTTCTACCATTATTCCCAAAGCAAATCATTCATCTCAGGTTGCATAATACTGAGTGTGTTTTATGAAAGAAGTGTATTCTACTTCACAAGATGGAAATATGTATGAATGGGTTATGTAAGAAGTTGTTTACATCTGTGTTGCTCTTTCCAGTTAAGGGGATCAGATTCTCATCATGTTTAATATTCATAATTATTCTGGGAATTTGTGGCACAGTAAGATTAAATGAAGAGCTTGAAAGTAGCCCATGAAAAGGAGTGCCAAATTTGTATCATGGCTTGGATGCCACAGGAGGTTTGCAATGGCTCTACTACTGAAAAATAATTTGAGTAAGGATGAGGGAGTGTGGTGGGCAGGTGGAATGAAAATGGGAAGTGGTTTCGTTTCTTCTTCAGGGCCTCACTTTTGAATGAAAAAATTAATGATCATTGGGTAGAGGAAAGTTGTGTCACTATCCAGTGCTTACACTGGATTACACTAAACCCAGTGCCTGTGTTTTTTTCAGCCATTGCATTCATACCTTAAATCCAAATCAGCTGCCTTTCTGTTGCAGAATATTTCATTTCTCATCTTCCTCTGAAATCTCTAATTTGACAAACAACTCTTGGCCCACACCACAACACCCACACGATAAATGAAAATCCTCTGTCTTACTGTAACTGCAGACAGCTATAGAAACAACCCCTATTGTCTCTGAATTGTAGATGGAGTCATGAATGAGACATTTTATTTATGGTAAAGAAGCTCATCCTTATAACAGTAATAAGTCTTTTTGCATGAACACTTACCCTTGCTGGATCAGAACTAGATAGCAAGTTGTAACATGCTCATTAATAAGGTGCACCAAAACATGACCACATTTTATAAACCACTCTTTATCGGTTAATCAGACCCTACATTTGCACATGTCTAGCCTTTGTCTGTATCATGAATTTTACTGGTTTTGCATTGCAGCTTTCTCATTGCATTTGTCTGTAGGTAAAATGAAATCCTACAACTACAATATGTAATTAGTAGGTATACCTCATAACTCTATGTACCTCTTTTGCTAGTTCACACCCAGTAAAAACTTACAAGTTTATAAGGATTTATCCAAGATATTGTCACAGTTTCCAAATTCCCAGTCACTGCTTTGAGTACTCCTTGTAAGATGTGGTATTCCTAATACATAACGTCAAGTTTCCTTCAGTTGGCTATGTGTGGTTGCAGAATAGTGATAGTTTTGCCAAAATCAACCACATTCTTGGCTGACCTTATTATAGAAATGCTGTTTTATAAAGCATTTTCTTTCTTCTTTTTTTTTTTTTTAGAACCATCAGATATTGAAGGAAATATGGAATCTGCCACAGTGATTGATTTAATTCCATGGATGGAATATGAGTTCCGGATAATAGCAACAAACACTCTGGGGACAGGAGAACCTAGTATGCCGTCACAGAGAATCAGAACTGAAGGCGCTCGTACGTAAACAGAAAATGTCAATTTTTTTAATGTGCTTCTTAATTTTCATATTTTTATTAATAAATTTTGTAATTTTGGTTTTTTTATTAAAAAAAACCAACCCAAAACATTTTAGAAGGTGCAGGTATAGAGAATAGATTTTCAGCCACCCACTACTATAGATTTTAGTAAGCAAGTACCAGACTGTCCAGATGTGGTAGCATCAAAGCAGACAGGAAAGAAACATCACGATACAAATGTCAAATTTGCCTCCGTTGCTGAAACAGGGTCGTACTGTATCTTTCAGAGATCCCTCACTGCATCCATCAGTCAGGTTGTGTGTGTATGTATGCATGGACGTGCTCGGGACCAGGGTACGTGACTTAGGAAAAAACATTTTAACAAGAAAAATGTGTTTAACAAGGAAAATGTCCATTTGCTGTTTGGCTTGTGTTCTAACTAAAGTATACATGGCAGGGTGAGTGTTATACTGGATAATGCCATTTTTCTGTGACTGAAGTTTTGGTCTTGTGTCTTCTTATTCCATGTCAAAGATGTGACATTATCCAATGCAACATATGCCTTTATCAATCTAATTGCTCAGTGTTAAAATCTCAGAGCGTATTTAAGGATATCCTTTAGGCTCAGGCACGTCCTTTTTAAAATGAATTCTCCAAAATGAGGAATTAGATGTTATTATTCAAGATAATACATTCTGGTTTGACTGTACAAAGGAGATAACAGCAGTGCTGTAGGAGGTAATGTATCACTGCAACAAAGCCGGCATACCAGTTTATCCTCCTTAACATATATTAGCACCCATGTGCAACCTAGATATATTTACAATTGTTGTCCCATAGCTTGAGATTTTAAATCAAAAATGCAAAACTAAAGTGTAAAAATTAATTCTTTGCACTTATACCTGCTAGGTCGTTGCTTTGTTTAGATAGTATTTTCAAAATAAAACATATTAGCATTGCAAATTTCAAAACATTTATTTAAAAACACCCACATTTGGTCCATTAAAAATTTTATTTCTTAGAGAGAAAGGGAATACAGATTGGTTAAATTAATCTGAGTAGGGAAGGAAAAGCCACAGACCTTTTAGTGCTGAAGTAAAACAAAATTACTGCCTATAAAGTTGACTGTTAGCATCATATGTTTTATGACTCAACAGCTGTATTTGAAGGCCAGGGAATCTAAATGAGAAATCTATTGTGCCTGGTGCCCAATAGACATTTTTGAAATGTCAGAAAAGGGACAGAAAGGGAGGAGAAATAATGCTCACAAGTGGAATAGTAGTCGTGTCCTGCGGACTGCAGTGTGCAACATTCATGATATTTGTTGTAGCCCCCCCAAAATGGAATATCCTTCAGTTTTGTAGGAGGATGCAATGCTTTTGCAAAAGGTAGTCTGTTTACTCTGTTGTCTGATTCCCCATGCTCAGCACCATTGTCATCTCTGGCAGACTGTGAGATGATTTTGGTGAAACAAAGCAAGATGTTAAGGTAGTCCTCCTAGGCATTAGTCAGCGCTTCTTGCCATGCCAAAATAGGGTATAATTCAGTAACAGCGTCCAGATAAACTTCTGTGCCCAAGTGCATTTTCTGCCACATATTTGTTACAAGTAGCAACAAGAGGATTTGGATTGCACTGTCAGCTTCCAGGGTACTACAGAACCAGTACTGCATGTGCATTTTTTGTAGATGGTAAATACCTTATTGCACGAACAACCACCCATATCCACACATTATAGTTATTTTTAACATTTTTTCTGTGTTAAACAGCAACAGGCTGTGCTACATCTTTGTTGTACGGCATGGGTGACAAATAATGTCTGTTAAACTCAGAGATATCAGTGGCTTTTTCAGTTTTGAAGTCTCTTCTTGTAGAGAACTGTAATTTAAGTAACTTTTATCAGCCTGCTAAGTATGCGTGCTGTGATTTTTTTTCTCATGAAATCTGCTTGCTTCATCAGTAACACATTTCACAGTGATTTCTTGAAATTCAATGGATCAAAGTATGCTTTGATGTATTTTAACTTCTGGATGCGTTAGAATAATTGTCTAAGTATAGCTGTCTGAATTAGTAACCTGGTCTTAATGGAGAGAGAAACCTAGGTTTAATGGCTGAGAGAGAGAATGAGGGAGATTCTCTTGAAAAGGGTGATTTGTAAGACATTAGACAGCCTTTTTTCTCTTCTCTGGCAGCCTGTGTATCTTCTTTGACTACTAAGCATTCTAGAAAACCTCTGCTTCTAACAGCACTAAAGTTATATTCTTATAATGGATAATATGACTACTCTCTCTTTCAGTAATAACAAGGGTGAGTAGTAAGTTCAAGCTTCCTCCCGAATTAACATGATACGTATGTTTGGTCTCATTCTCCACTACTTTGTTTTCTGGAAGTACAGAAATAAATAATGCAAAGCAGGCATTGAATGCTGATTTCAATTCCAAATTTTTCTATCCCTTCTGTAAGCATTAATTACAATTCCTCTCTCCTTTGTGTTCCTCCTCAGCTGACCTTCTGAGAAGGCCTCAGCAAACATCTTTCTTAAATAGTGCAAGAGCACTTAGCGACTATCCCCTTAGTATCTTGTGACATTCACTGGTTAGTGGAGAAAATGCCTAATCATGTAAGAGTTCCTATCACAAAGAACATGTTCCTGTAGATAGGCTATGTAGGTAATAGATGACCATCAGAGCATATTTCATGTACTGTAAGTAGGCCATTATTTCCTAAGTTTTCAGTGATACTTTGTGTGTTTTGTATTGAGTGACAGCAAATAAATACACAAACACCATAGAGGATAGCAATAGAATCAGCACACTTAGTGCAGAGTCCTTCAGAAATGACAATATATAGGAATGATTTGTAATGGAGTTCTTGAGAGTATCCTGCCTTCCACTCAGCTGTGTACTAAAGATAGATCAACAGATTTTATTTCATTACATACAATATCAGTGTAAAATACAATTAGTGGATTAGTAAGCGCTGTGCCAACTTTGCTGTTGAACATCTACCCATAATGAGTATGCCAATCAAGGAGACATGTGCCACTGATGTAGAATAGCATTAGGATGCCAGTGCTTCAGAGATACACCCACAGGTTTAACCTTACGCATTGCGAGTAAATCTGTTGAATTAGATGGAACTGATCACAGTGGGTTAAGGTAAATACGTGTGCAAGTCCTGGGTGCTTGAGCCCTTGGCATGTCGACGTCTGTGGAATCACAAGAACAGTGCTTCTCTTAAGACCTATGAGAAGTGTTCTATTTCTGAATATTCAATTAAATATTTGTAGAGAATACGGTTAAAAAGAAGAATGATTGCTAGCTATGGTTAGAACTGGGATGTTTCCAGCAGCAGTAGCAAGACATTATTCTTGGCAAGACCGCAGACTCTCACAGCTATTATGGACTATCATTATTTTAATTGTGTGTGCCACGTGTGCTTATTGGCCCCTGGTAAAAGGAAAAGTAAATAGGGATATTATTACTGACTGCATACTTTGTAGTAATTTTTCTTGTCTATTCTATTTTTCTAGCTCCTAATGTGGCTCCTTCTGATGTTGGAGGAGGGGGTGGAAGCAATCGAGAGCTGACAATAACATGGATGGTAGGTATTGCACTGATACGGCATGAAATGGCACGTTTAGCCTGGAGAAGACTGAGAGGGGATCTCATCGGTGCTTCTAAATATCTAAAGGGCGGGTGTCAAGGGGATTGGGCCAGACTCTTTTCAGTGGTGTCTAGCAACTGGAACACAGGAAATTTCATCTCAGCATGAGGAAAAACTTCACTGGGAAGGTGCCAGAGCACTGGAACAGGCTGCCCAGAGAGGTGGTGGAGTCTCCTTCTCTGGAGATTCTTAAAACCCTCCTGGATGCGTTCCTGTCCAACCTGCTCTAGGTGAACCTGCCTTGGCAGGGGGGTTGGACTAGATGATCTCCAAAGGTCGCATCCAACCCCTGTCATTCTGTGATTCTGTGAAACCTATACTTCCTTCTATCTGATCTTGCTCCTCATGAAACCCATGGATAGTTTGTAACTGGCTCCTGTGAGAGCAGGATTTGTACGCAGTGTAAAGGTTTTCAGACTTTTCTTATAAAAATAGATATAAAGGAATGAAGAGGAAAATATTTTAGATGTTTATGTATTGGACATTTCTAAAGTACAATCTAAAACATTCTCTGAGTATGTTTCAAAGAGAATGAAACACATACTGAATATGATAATGCATTGATGCAACTGAATTTTAAAAATCTGCATCTTGTATCTTTGTTCGAGGCTTTTTTTAAGTTACAGTTTGAATAGCATGCAGATTTGCTCTCTACAACTAAAAGTATAACGTCCTAATTATGACTTTATTGTGCTGTGCACAGATTCACAGGTTTTATTTAAAAAAAAATACATTGCAATTCTATAAAGAAGCCTGTCATAATTATTAACTGGAATTTTAAAGAAATTCTTTTGACATTTTTTAGTTTTTATTTTATGCTAATGTAATGGGTAACACAAAACAATGTTGCCTCAAACAACAATTTAGCCATTCATTGGTATCCCCATACTGATGATGTTGTTCTTTTCCTCCAAGACATTCATTTTTCTTCAATGATTATATATTAAGCAAAATAAAGATGGGGGAAAGGGACAGAGAGAAGATGCTAGTCACAAAAATAATGCAATTAAAAGTTAAAAAAACTACAGTGTTACCAAAAAAGACTTCCAGTAATCTTCAGAAGTCTTTTGAAAATATCATCTCTTTCATGTACTGTAGGTATTCACTTAATGATATTTTGTCTTTAAAAAGATTTTTATATTTAGTTATATATATAAATGCTTTCTTCATTCTGGTATTGAAGCAATGTTTTTTCAAAATTTACCTGTACTGTGGAGGAAAAAAAAGCAAAAACCCACAAGTAATAATCATAGAATCACAGAATGGTTTGGGTTGGAAGGGACCTTAAAGACCATCCAGTTCCAACCCCCCTGCCATGGGCAGGGACACCTTCCACTAGACCAGGTTGCTCAAAGCCTCATCCAGCCTGGCCTTGAATAGAAAAGAGATTAGAAGTTAGAAGAATGCAAAACTCAGAACAGGAGTGGATAAGGATTTACAAGCAAAGTTGTTGAGCAGGCATAAGTTCCATGGAGGAGACAGTTGAAGTCTTCTGAAGGGTTTTTGGGAAAGCTAGGGAGGAGAAATAAAGCCAAAAAAAGCCTGTCTATCTGATGTATGTCAGAGCCTGTCAGTGTCCAGCAAAAACAGAGTGACAGAAGCATCACCTCTAGCAAAGATGGTTAAACAGTATGCTTGAAAAAATTACCAAGTTTATCTTGCTGTTGACCTCTGATCACCTTCACAGGGCTATGAGGCACATGAGGCGTATTATGCCGTTTGTGTCTTTTGGACAATAGCCTGTTTCAGATGTAGCAGCTTATTTACCTCTATGAAGAGTGGGGGTTTTTGTGGGAAATAATATAAAGATGTCATAATTCCAACAGCAACTTTGCCATTGTTGTATAAGGATCCTGCTTATGAATTTACAAATTTTAATTCTTTTTGAACATAAGGTTGATCATACTTCTTTGGAAAAAAAGTTCTCAAGTGTGGCACAGAAATAGTCAGCCATATGTTTGGTCTAGGAGATTTGAGTCTCCTCTTTTTTTGTGTTTTTGTTTTGGTTTGGTTTTTTACTTCAATTCAAAATGTTTATTGACTCTTCCTAAGTATTTAGCAATGAATTTACCTAAAGAAAAAATTTCTAAGTTTCTGAAAAAGGAAGATCCACACTTCTGTTAAAATATATTGAAAAGGTTATTTCTTAGTTTGTCTAAGAATAGGTTAGGGAGCAGAGGTGTCCTAGTTGGTTTCATTCTGATCTTTATTTATTTTTGAAGAGCAGAAGTCAAATAAGAATACATTTGATGGACAGTTGCGTAAGACCTAGATTATTTTATTATTTCTTCACAAATGCTGTCTTATAAAAATTTTTAACAGAGCTACTTCTTGCATTGCATGTAAAGACCCATACTCATGGGATTTTCAATACAGAGAAAAATTGACTGTGACCAAACTAAAAAAAGACAATTATAACCAGGAGAATAGTGACTAATGCAAGATCTGAAGTACAAGATCAATTCAGTCTTTCCTATACACCCAAGTAGATTTATATCCCTATTATTTCTCTTACTTAATGTCATGCTTCTTATATCTGTTCTGTAATGAGTAGCTCATTTAGTCAGACAAATTAGGCATGGCTTCAAATATTTACTTCCCAAGTATCTTCCATACTGTGTCTAGCAAGTGTTTCTGAATAGAGGCATTAGATTTACAGAGCCTGTCTGACAGACGACAATATATCTATCTGTACGGCTAAGTTAAAGGTGTATACTGATTCCCCCAAATGTGCTGACATTTGCATATGATACTCAAAATAGTCCTTAATTAAGAAGAGAAGAACAAAATGTATGGCAGGTTCACATGTTGCTGCCAATCCCCTCTCAGCTTTTGCTGTGATTCATAAGCCCAGGTTGAACGAGACAGCCAGAGATGCAATCAAAGCTCTTCTAAGTCTTGTTTTGAAAGAAGAACTGAGAAGGAGAGCTGGGACTGGCATGCCCATTCTTCCTCATTTTTCCCCATTTGTCTTCCCCTCTTCTGTTTTGTTTTTCAAAGTTTTTAGTTCATACTACAAACTGTTCAGCTACTTGTACCTACTTATTATGTGCAGCTGTTGAAGGGCAAGCTGATTTCCACATTTTATTTAAGACCTTCTAGAATATAATTTTTAAGTGACAGTTCTGGCTTTCTGAAGTTTGCTGTGCCTGAAAATCATTCTGAGACTAGGGCCACATCTAGGCTGCTTACTTTGACGTGTGAGGTAGGGTTCTAGTTTGTTTTAAGCAGCTACATAGAATGATAGATTCAGAAGACAAGCTGTCAAAGGTGACCCTTCTAAAATCTTCTACTTTTTGAACTGCAAGGTTGCCTGTGAATCTAGACTTGGGTACATGAAGGTACGTTACCTGTTCTGGGAAGCTTGTTATCTAATTTTCACCTGATCTCCAGACAGACCTGAGGTAGGAAACAAGCTGAGACATGAGTTATATCTCATCCAATAGGTACACTCGGAATATGCCTGACACACAAAAAGTTAAGCACATAAATATATTATCTACGGGGTTTTATTCATAGCTGATTTGCAGTTAAAGTCTTCGTCTGGTGGCTTGTGCCTCGTGTCACAACTAGAGACAAAATACCCATCTCCTTTTTCACATGAGCGGTTTCTTGAATTTTATCTCTTGCCAGTCATCTTAATTGCCAATTATACTTAAGTCACTCATATGTTCTCAGAAGTCATGTTGTAGGTAGATGAGTATCTTTCCACTGTCTAAAGCTCATTATAAAGCTATTATAATTCAGATTTTACATATAACAGCATTTCACCTGAGTTCGCCAGAAAAGCCAAAGAAGTTATGTATATAGAGACCTATAGCCAGCTGCATCAGTCAGTTCTCTTCTGCGACATGGAGTCATGGTTACAGTACCCACTCAGGAAGCAAGAGGCACGCAGTCCTGAGGATTGTCCATACATATCCCATGTTCTAGACAGGTCCCTGAACCCTATTCATGGTGTGCTGAGGCCACTTTCCAGTTTTTGATTGAACTGAACCACTCTTCTGCTGGAGATGCTATTAAGTACAGAGAAAAAAGAACAGCAAGCAAGGGGAAATCTACTGGTTACTGAACTCTGCAGAAGGTAAATCCTGTTGGATTCTGGGCCTTACTCCCACAGCTGTTTTTCGCTTGTATCTAGTGTTAATCCCATGCGGAAGCACTGGTGTCAAGGGAGCTTCATCTAGAACCTGCTTTCTGTCCTCAACCAGCTGAAGGCTGCCTGCTTTAAATATTGCTATATTGTTATTCTTGTCACTTCAGCACTGATGTAGCAGAGTGATGAAACTTCACAGCAGCAACAGAGAAAACAGGATGCAATGGGATCTGATAGCTAGCACACAGGGGCAGGGGTCAGTAACCTTAAGTTGAGTAAAGTCCGAAGTCCCAGCCTATGTATTTCTCTTGGAAGCTTTGCAATGAAGAAAAAAACTCCATCACTGTTCATATGTCCTTATAAGACGTTTCTCAAATTTTGAGTTCTGACATCTGCGTTTGTCTTAATTTTTTTCTTATTGTATTATGTGTACTAGTGTTCTAATCCATGTGTTCTGTTGCCAATGTCAAAACTTAAATGTTTCTATTGGTCTAAAAATTTGGTGAGTTTTTACCAGAATATTCTTTCTCAGAGAATCACAGAGTGGTTTGGATTGGAAGGGACCTTAAAGATCATCCAGTTCCAACCCCCCTGCCATGGGCAAGGACACCTTCCACTAGACCAGGTTGCTCAAAGCCTCATCCAGCCTGACCTTGAACACTTCCAGGGATGGAGCATCCACAGCTTCTCTGGGCAACATGTTCCAGTGCCTCACCACCCTCTCTGTGAAAAACTTCTTCCTGATATCCAATCTAAACCTCCCCACTTTCAATTTAAACCCATTACCCCTTGTCCTGTCACTACAGGCCCTTGTGAAAAGTCCCCTCCCAGCTTCCTTGTAGGCCCCTTCAGGTACTGGAAGGTGCTATAACGTCTCCCCGGAGCCTTCTCTTCTCCAGGCTGAACAAGCCCAAGTCTCTCAGCCTGTCCCCATAGCAGAGGTGCTCCAGCCCTCTGATCATCTTTGTGGCCCTCTGGGCTTGCTCCATCCTTCTGATGTTGAGGGCTCCACAGCTGGACGCAGCACTCCAGGTGGGGTCTCACCAGAGCAGAGTACAGGGGGAGAATCCCTTCCCTCGACCTGCTGGCCACACTTCTCTGGATACAGCCCAGGATACAGTTGGCTTTCTGGGCTGCCAGCGCACACTGCCGGCTCATGCTCAGCTTTTCATCTTTGGAGTTTCATTCTAGCTTCAAACAAATAGGAACATCAGAATCTGTGAGCTAGGTTTTTTTTTTTTTTGCTTGTTCCACTACTAACATCTGAATTTCATAAATCCTTGCTTGAAATATCTTCACACATGTTGGCTAAAGTGCTACAGTAGTGTGCAAACACCTAAGGAGAATAATTACACTCTGTTGTACTGCTTTAGGACCTTTGCCTCAAGATAAGCTGTTTCTTCTCTGTGAGTTTTACATTATAGGAAAAGGTGATGCAGAAAGTTTATTTTCAAAGGATGCCTCTTGTCAGCCTTTGGATTTGCTCATGACTGGCATGAATTTGGCCCATTGGGTGCACTGTCTAATAGTTGTGGTAAAGGCTCTGTGAACTGAGGAGGGATCACTGCATGTACAGCTTTGGTAAATGAAGCAAAGTTCTTTATAGCAGATGGTCTTCTGTAATCTTACATTTTCCAGTATTCCTAGGTATAGGGAATCAGTTATAGTTTTAAGAAATATTTTGGATAATTAATGCTCATGCTGAAAGTGGGAGTCATTTCATTTAAACTTTTACCAGTGAACTTGTGTCCCTCCATCATCAGTGAAAAGTGGTAGGATGAATCATGCTCTGAATGAGTCCATCTCTGTTTATCAGCTGTGCGAATTGTCTGTGTGACCAACTTCAGGTAAAATAATATCATTTAGGCCAGCCACATAAATTTTTTCTTTTCTTTCTGTTTCACAAGAATATTTCTCTCCACACATGCACATGGACCCATATATTTGCATAGTGTGTTTGTTTCATATCCACTATCACTTACTCCATAAGAAAGCTCTTTTTGCTAGCTGCAGCTGACAGCACTTTTAGTACACAATCATCCTTCGTTCCTTTCTGCAACAGATAACGTGATATGTCTTGCACTGAGTTTGGATGAGGAACAAGATCTTAAAATGTTGCAAGATCTGCTACTGCTGCAGATCTGCATAATTAAGATGGTGTATTTTTCAAGGAAGATGATGTATTTTTAAAGGGCAGGAGAACAAACTGTAGACGCACACCAGAACAAAATGGAACTTTAATTGTGTTTTTACAATGCACATATCAATGCTTTCTCTATTATATATGTTTCATTAGAGATCCATTTGTTCAGTTGTCTATGAAAAGTAATGTTTTATCTTTTGCCTCTTTAGCCTTTGTCAAGAGAATACCACTATGGCAATAACTTTGGTTATATAGTGGCTTTCAAGCCGTTTGGTGAGAAAGAATGGAGAAGAGTCACAGTTACTAATCCTGAAATTGGCCGGTATGTCCACAAGGATGAATCAATGCCACCTTCAACCCAGTACCAAGTAAAAGTGAAAGCTTTTAACAACAAAGGGGATGGACCATTCAGTCTCACTGCTGTCATTTATTCTGCACAAGATGGTGAGTAAAGGTTTCAGATAAGTTTTACACTGAAGGCCCAGAGCAGCACCACCAGCTGGTCCTTCACACTGATTGATATAGCAAGGAAGGTGTATATACTTCACAGAAAACACTTGCAGTTGTTTTGAGTAAAAAGCTTCAGACTGTGCTTTCCATGTGATGGAGAACACTTGGTTGGATGTGCTGCCAGTGAGCAATACACAAAAGCATTCAAAATTCTTCACAGAGCTTGTTAAAAGACTTAAGAATTTTTAAAAAAGAAATTCTGATCTTCCTTTTGGTTGCCTAAAACACGTACATCATCATCCAGCAATGTCTCTGTGATCTTAATACATGTATTTCACATATGTAGAATTTTTTCTTGAACAGACCACACTGAAGCCTATTATTCTGGTAGATCAATATCAGAATTTAGCCCAAAATTATGAAGGAATGATAGTTCAGTTGTGTCATGGTGTATTTCCAGCATGTTTAGAGTTTAATATACATTATTACTGCTGCATTCTTTATTCCACTTTGGATGTTAGAGCTATCAAGTGAATAAATTAATGAAAACCTCTTTGACATTTCACTAAAATATTTTTCTCAATTCCAACTGGAATTACTTCACATGCTGTGTGTGATCTTTAGGATTGAAGTTTAAATGACATTTCCAAACTTAGCAGGAGAGAGCAAGTATTAGAAGAATGTTTACCTTAAATCAGAAGAAATATGTACAACATCCTAATTGCAACATAATCACTCAAGCCTGTTTTAAAAAAATGTGGTTTATTAATTTCTGCCAGAAACCCAAAGAAGGAATTACTTCACATGCTGTGTGTGATCTTTAGGATTGAAGTTTAAATGACATTTCCAAACTTAGCAGGAGAGAGCAAGTATTAGAAGAATGTTTACCTTAAATCAGAAGAAATATGTACAACATCCTAATTGCAACATAATCACTCAAGCCTGTTTTAAAAAAATGTGGTTTATTAATTTCTGCCAGAAACCCAAAGAAGATTTTTTTCCCTAGAGCAGAATCTCCTTCACAGAGTCAGCAGATCCAGACCAGAGAGCCAAGAGGACGGATATGATAACAAGGCCACATGCTCACACTTCCAATTCTGTTCTTTACTCTGTGTACTTTATGGGAGATTTATGGTCATGATTCCCATTAGTGCTAATGGGATCTTTGCACACAAATCGCCCACACACAGAGGAAAGATAAAATGGTCCTTTTGTTTCTTACAATAATTCAGGGTTCAAGCTAGCAACACTTAGCTATCTAAGAGGTTAATACTAATCCTTTTTCTTAGGAAAGTGTGCCTTAGGATATCATCTTCAACAGCTGCTATGGCAACGGAATGAGGCTTTTTGTAATTGTATAAATGAGTTGGCAAACAGGTATGGTGTAATAAAAGCCGAATCTGACAAATAACATTTCAGTATCCATCCTTGCTCAGAGACATTATTGACAGCTGATGGATAAGCTCCCACGTGTTTATCTTAGGATTATACTAACCGTGTCAGGGATAGGAGTGTGTTTGTATAGCTCTCCAGGTTCGGAGACATGGTAGAGGCTAGTAGCTCCGAAAGACAGTAGAAAAGCAAATGTGCATTAGTGCCAGCTTCCAGATAAAGAAGTCACTTCAGTGGCTGCTGTCATTCTGACGTAGACTTTAGCTAAATCCAGACACCTGGCAGAAACACTTGTGGTTAAATGATGCCAGATCCAGGCAGCAAAGGAATAGAAGCTCAGTGAACCTACTTCTTTTCTTTGATTTCAGGTGCAAGAGTCACACAAAACACTTGAGTCCAAACCTTACCAGTGCGAGCTATGACCCCGACTACTGACCATATCAAATCCAGGAACTTCTTGGTGGGCTAGAAGGAATTTTTCCAATAGGTGTAATGAAAGTTATTCCAGAGAATGTTCTGCAGAGTTTTCTGCTGTCATCAGGACTTACACAGTCACCTCAGTACCTTGTAGCCTGCTTACTGGCTCTCAGCCTTAACTTCGTATAGTTACGCTTAGAAAATAATTGTGTGATGACCACTGTGTTTTCAATGGAGAGAACATGTTGTGAGGCACACTTGATTGCTACTTTTACTGGTGGAATTACCGAATTAGAAGTCTGAAGAAAAGCACTGATGTCATCTTTCTGGCTCAAGAGAGACTGCAAAATATTTATAGAATATAAATGCCAAGTAGGGATATAAATTATTTGGAGCTTATAAACAAGCATAAGCATATGAAATATTGTTTAGAGTATTGTATTGGCAAAATCCCTGGCAGTTGGAACTTTTCAATATGAAAAATTTTGGCAAATTCGGTAATTGATACAATGGAGAGGATTCTGACAGTGATTTGGGAATAGATAAGTTGATCACATCTATTCCACCTGTACTTCTGTACCTCTGAATCAGACAGTGGTATTACTGATGTCAGACAACACAACTTCCTAAAGGCACTAGTGAGATTTTAAAGCAATATGGTCATACAGTATTTCATACAGATATGAATAAATGTACATACATAGATAAATATAATTGCAGCATTTCCACTAAGTTGCATATTTGGTAATATATCTATGTGTGTCCAGTTATAACCGTGGGTATCTTTATTCACTTCAGTGACTGGGGCATTTCTGTGTTCCCACATGCTTTAAGCCAAGTTCTATATCTGACAACTACTAGTCATACCTGCCATTGCTACTCGTGAGTAATGACTGCAAGTAATGAGTGCATAAGCCTCTTGCTTATCTAAATTCCTGTCGTTGTGAAAACAATTTTGCAATAATGTATCATTTTTTAATTATACATTTGCATTATTAACAGCCACTGAAAGACAATTACAAAAGGTAACTTTGCATATAAGATTATTTTGTTACCTGGGATACTTTTCATGAGAGACGTAACTGATTTTTTTTCTTAACAGTGGCTGTTTTGATGCATAGTTGACTGGATGCCCAGTTGGAAGATTAAGTATGTGAAAGCTTTCCTCAGCTCAGGCTGCCATGCCTGTCTGTTGCAACTTGTGGCAAAAGATTCGCAACAGGGAACTGTTCTTAGCTTGGATAATTTTATCTTTTCTAGGCATTGTTAAGTTTATGCCTTTTGAAATTCTTTACCTCACTTAAAATGCAAGCAACAATGAAATTAACAGCTTCTTGTAATTAAACTAGAACTTAAAATTCTACACCCTGAAAAATAGCCTATCTTTTTATAATGGTCTGTATTCTGCATTGGCTGGTGTCCAGAAGTGAAAGCACAGACAAAATCAACTTTGCGATGTATACCTAATAGATGGGTGCTCTTTATATGTGCTTCTGGCCAGCTGTATATCTAATATCTGGTCTCCTAAGAACTTTGTATCATCATCAATAAGTGACATACACATGAATATTTGTGTGTAGCAGCTTAAAAACTCTGGTGTGCATAATCGGTGAGCTGCTGTCCAGTTAGTAAAAGATCACCAGATGCTTCATTCTGTTTATTAAATCCTGGTCTTAACTTACACAAATTTCATCATGGAATCTGTTGAAGCATAAAAATACATAGTCTGAGCCAAGTAATAGAATCATTGCTTTGTTATTATAGAGACATTTCCCATACAGATCATCACTGAATTTGAAGTTTACTCACATAAAAACAGATTAAAGACTAAAACACTTGGACCCCTGATACCACAAAAATAATATGAAATACAAGCAAGTACAACAATATCACTGGATGTGATTGGATGCTTAACATGTGTTTTGTCTTCCAGCTCCAACTGAAATACCTACAGACGTGAGTGTAAAAGTTTTGTCATCTTCTGAAATGTCTGTTTCTTGGCACCACGTTTCTGATAGATCTGTGGAAGGATATCAGGTGAGTTTAGAGGAGGCACTGTACATCTTCTCATTCATTTAATTTCAGTAGTTAAATGCAAGGAGAATTCCTGCTCTGGCATATCTCTCAGGGATCACTTCTCTTTAGCTGTTGCTTGCTGTACAGGTTTCACATCCCGAGAAACAGATCATTTTTGGTGCTATGCACTTCATTACTAAAACATTTTAACAAATCTGTATGCTCACTGTTCAACTGAAAAAAGGCAACATTATTTCATAGAAGAAACTTTTCTCTTTATGTTACATAGTTGAAGGCCTATCTCTACCTTCTCAAAACGTATGAAGTGTTGGGTGTAATTGTCAACACAGACATGAAACTGTAACTGACTTATGGCCCATTTAAATTCTCAGCAGTTATTCATGTAATTCACCCACAAATCCTATAGTCAGTGGGACTGTGTGACAAGTGCCCAGAATCCAGTGTAACAGAGGCAGTGCTATTGTGCAGATTAACAAATGTTCTGTTCATCATTTCTATTCTCCACATGAAAAAGAGCTTCAAGGTGTGTTCATCTGGTCCAAGAGTAGGTGATGCTACCGGTAAAAATTGTTCTTGTCCTTGTACAAGGGTGACAACAGCCACAAGGTGGGTGCAAGCAGAAATAGCCACATAGTACTCCAGCAGGGTAGTCTTAACATCATCTGTGCACAGTGAATGCTGATGAGGTCTCCAGTGTACAGCCAGCTTACTTTGGCTGCACTCCAAAACAGGGATTTGGGCCTTAGTTTGTTAGTGACTTGCTTTGTGATTTAAGTTGTTGGCTTCCTAATGGTAGCCTCTGTGTTCCAAAATAAGCACACAGAAATATGGAGTAACCTCATAGAATGTATTTTTATAACCGAAATCTATTTTAAAATGTTCTTTTAATTAGTAGTACTTGTTTTCTACATTTCCTGATCTCTGTTTCTGTCTCCACGAGATTGATGTAATCCTTTTGGGATACTGTAACCAGATCATAGCAAACATCTCAGTAAGAAGTAGCATAGTGTCCCCTATAAAGCTTGATTCTACACAGTACACGCATTTAAGTTTTAAAATTACAAGCAGAGGACACTGGTTTGAAATTATGACACTGACATCAATGGTGACTCCTAATTTACTAAAGAAGCCCACTGGCTTGGTGTTCCACAGGAATTGTGTGACTAGAAGATCGAGAAATTCATGGCCATAACTGAGAGCTGGGTGGAGAGCCCAGATCTGACCTCAAGCCAGACAGCCTTCCCAAGCTGGACAGTCTGCGCAGAAACTGGGCACAGGTCCTGTGCACCCGGAATAGTGCAAACAGACACTCGGCAGGCACAGACTGGGGGACTTGTGGGGCTGTGGAGAGAGCAGGAACGAGGAGTGCTGGGAGAGGTTGGGATTGCAGCAGCGATGGAGCATGATGTGGATGTTGAGAGTTGTAATGGGGGTTAGGGTAGGAAGGCTGGAGGGTAAGGACAGATGGAGAAGGGACATGGCGAGAGAACGTTCCTGTAGGCAACCCCCTTTTGGCCATTTTTTAACTTTATTTTGCATAAAGACATCTGAGTTACTGTCAGGGCACATCAGGGGAAGTAAGGAGAGCGGGTTCATCAGGAAAGAACAGGATGGATGGGACAATCAATAGGAAAAAAGGAATAAAGTTGGAAAGAAGCATGGAGATTCTCTGAGCTGAAAAGAGAATAACTGCTCTACTGGAGAAAGGTGGGATACTCTGGGAATGGGTGGAGAGCTCTGTTACACAGAATACAGATGTGCAGGATGTGGCCTTATAGCTGGAGTATAACTTCATTCACTCATTCCTAGAGAAGTACTAGACTTCTGTAAATCAGTGTGAACTGGATGGCTTGAATATGTACAGTGAGTAGTGGGATTGAATACAAATTTATTCTCTTTTTTTCTCTTTTTCTAAAGTAACCTTCTAGTTATCAGGACTGTGGAAAAAAATTCCCATCTGGCTATAAAATGAACAGGCATGAATTACTGCCCATGGAGCTCAGTGAGGTGTTAATTCTGAGACCTTTTTCTCTAAGAGTAATCACCAGCCTCATTCTGGTAGAGGGGAAAGCAGCAAAGGGCAAGCCTGTGCTTCTACACTGAGGGCAAAAAGAAGGTCTTTTGCTCCTGAAGATCAGATCCCATCAGTCCTGGAGGAGCCATAGGACAGGGCAAAACCAGAGAGGGCTGTTACGGAAGGTCAGGGCTACAAATAGCTTTTGTGAAGTTACAGTGCAAGCTGTGGGGGAAGGGGCACTCAAACTACAGTATAAAGTTCCACTGAATATGTCTGCAAGGCTTTGTCTCTATTGGCATCAAGAAATATTCCAGTATATTTTTTAGTTATTGCTCAGCTGTAACACAGGTGAGCAAAACCTCTCATTCACCAGAACACTTTAATTTTGGTCTTTATTATTACCTGAAAATTACATAACTGGCCTTTTAAATGCTAGAGTTTAAGATGTGAGAGTACCCTGAGCAAAGTACCTGAAGGTATTTCACCTGTGACACAACGTTTTTCACACCAGGAGGAGTCAGATTTTCTTGCCACTAATGCATACTGTCAGGACGACTGCCCTCATGGTGATGAGTGTGAGCTGATACATTTTGCCATTACAGAGGAGTATGCTCAGCTCACACTTAAAGAAGAGATAAAGTAGAAAAACTATCTCCATCCATAATGAGAATTTAAGATTTATGAGTTCTCACAATAACTTGCTAAAAGCCACAGCTCTTCACTGCATGCAATATCCAATGACACTATCCATATTTCCTGCTGCATCTATGCAACAGATACGTGTTTATTTTGTTAAACAAATTTATCACTACTTGCTGCCATTGTCCCTTCTTTACTAAAATATGCTATTAGAATTCTTTCATAGTGTGAGTCAGGTACCTCTTTCATGTGTCTCCTATGTAAACCTTCAGGAATATGAGAGCTGTTGTTTCATGACACTTACGGAAACAATTTCTGATGTATCTCAGTATATTAAAATTTGCATAGAAGAGAGGACATGTAGAAGAGTGTGTTACCCTGATTTCAGTACAGAGGGTTGCACTGATTCATGATGGCGAAGGCATCCCTTCCCACAGATCACTGTTGGTTTATGTCCCACAACAAACTCTAGAGCTGGGGTGAAACATGTCCCCTGGGGTTCCATTACCCTGACAAGGCAAATGCAGAGAACCAGGAAAAAGCAGACTGCCTGAGATCCTACTCCAAGTTCTTTAATAAAAGAGATGGGGACTACTGAGCAAAGTGGGGAAATATGACTTCTTGATGCAATGGGGCATTTAATTCTATATTGCCAGTTTTCAGTAGTTTCTAGTTATCACTTCCACAGAGGTAAGAGAGTGAAAGAAATTGCCAAGTTACTACAAGAGACTTTGAAATTATTTAGATAATTAGTGAGAAATGTAGGAATAGTGTAAAGAAGACAGTAGGACTTTTTCTTAACTCTCAAGAGAGTCATCTTGTTTCATTCTTTTCCAAAAGTAGTTGCAATGATCCACATATGTAGATATGACTGTAAATTAAATGAAGAGAGAAAGAAGAACATTCTGAGTGTGTGACACACTCTAAGTAGTAAAGTCCACAACATTGCAGACAAAAACAATAATATTTGGGATTTAAATTTACTTTAAATATTAAATTATATTACTTCTGCCTGAAATGTAATATGCTTTCAGTGAAGTAATTTACATTTTCATTCATTGTTCTCTCTTGTCTTGTTTGATGATGTGTATTACTTGTTACATGACGCCCTTAACATCACTGTAGTGCAAATGAACAGTAGGATTGTAGAAAGTTTTGCAAGTCAGAGGTATTCAAAGGCTTCCAGCAGCATGCTCCATGATTAACAAAAGCTTCACATAAAGTGTGTTTGCCATCTTTAGGTAAAGCAGGTAGTTAGTTAACATAAAAGAACATACTAAAAATGAATTAATTCATCTTCAGTGGCCAGTTAATATCATCAACAAAGCTACCATTGGTCTTGTAGCTAATAAACTTTTGGCCACCTAGAACTTCACAGACATCCCTTTGCTGCAGGCGAGAAACTTGTCTGAACTGAGGGACAGAGATAGACATGACGTCCCGTAGCTCCTGATGTACACACCCTCTCACACTTGAGTCAGCTGCTTGTAGTTACAGCTTGTGGTGTACAGCTGGTTGCATTCAGCAACAGCAGTTTATCTACGACGGTTTGTTAATTATAATCATGTTTTTAAAAATTCTGACTTGAAGATCGTAATCAGACCGTCAGCTGAAATGGCTGTGACGGTTTCAGTTCCACACTGGTTTGAAACCACTCATCAGGTGGAGGTTACCACCCTGCTGGATCAGTCTGCAGGATGGATTGGGTGCGCATTCCTCACTCATTCTGAGGCAAAGCCTGTTGACTCCATGAAATAGCCACCTTAGTAAGTGGAAATTTCATGAGTGTGAGTGTTTAAATTACAGTAAACTGATGTTTAGGATACTAAGTGGATTAAACTTCCAAAACACTGTGCAGGACATACTTTTATATAACTAAAAATTACCTGTTTGTGCCAGCTGAAAGGCAGGTATGCGTGCCATGTTTAAAAATGGGTGCCAGTTTGGCCTGAAGATGGAGTGTGATTCTCTGCACCTAGAGTGAGAAAAGTCATTGTGATGTTGTCACATTTATAGTAATCGGAGTATGAGTAACCTCTAACACTGTTGGGCAAGAGTGAGGGAACACTGACAAGAGACTTCAGTATTTAAATAAGAGTAACCTCTGTGTGTTGACATTGGCTGTTACCATGTCCAGAGACATTTGAAGTAGGTGAAGAGAAACCCTCTACTGCACCTCTGCTTGCTCAACCAGTATGTGCTCTGAACTAAAAGAAAGCACTATTTTTATTAAGCATTTTAATTCAGATGTGAACAAGAGAAAATAAAACCTTGACAAACAAGGCGTACCCATCATTTGTAGAGGACAACTGCGATCTTAACACCTTGACAAGCTATCTGCTCTTCTAACCTGTTCCTTAAATGAAGTTTCCAAGGAAAACTAATGTCAGCAGAACACAAGATTAAAGTGGTTGCTATTTAAAAGATAAAATAACAGGTTACCTGATGTCACCGGTCAAGTCTTACAACGCAAGATTTTTCCCAGAGCCTGAAATTTTCAACAGCATTAACCTCTTCCTAAAAAGATTTTAAAAGGTCCTCATGTAGCATGCCTAAAAATCATTATGAAGGCAGGCAGAAGCTGAGCAGAAACGCTGAGTGAAAACACTTAAAACCAAAATGTAAGCGGTATGGCTTCCCACTCTGACATGTTGGTACAGTAATTTAGTCTTATCCAAATGGCTATAAATGTGACAAAACACAGAGACTGACAAGTGTTTTACTCTCACTTGCATCTCACAAAGCCATGAAGAATAGGACCCAGTGTATGTGATGGACTCTATGGAATGGCATCACTCCATGGGAACTACTCTCTTTTAACCTGGTGCTTTGTAATATGTAATGAATTGAAGTAGAATGGAACAATTTATTTGATAAAAAACCTTCTATCTACACTTAGTTGATTTTAAAATGTTACAAGCTTACATTGATGCTTTTCCCATAGCTTAAGCTTTTTCAGATTCTTTCTTACCTACTTTGACAAATGTCATATTGTACTGTGAAATCTGATTGAATTTAGCCAAAGAACTTTAGAAAATGGTTAGGTGCACTTATCTAGACCTGCATATACAGTTAACATTACTGAATACTTCTCATTCCCTAGACTGAAGTACAAAAGGATTACATGGTTTAGACATTTTAAACAAAATACTGTGAAAACATTAGCAGACTTCAGTCTGCGCTGAAGTGTACCAAACCATTAAAGTTCAGAGTAAAATGCTCCAACAAAACAGCACAAAGAAAATAGTCTTGTTTTCTGAAGTCATTATCCATCTCCCAGACTTGTAATGCCTTAGCTGAGAACAAGTTAGACCACTGTGAGAAAAGGTTCCATAAAAAAATCTGAAATTGTTTCTTTTTCTTCGTGTCTATATACAGCTTGGTTAAAATCACAACCTGTAGAAGGAATTCCATGCTATTGCTGTTCTTTTAGCTTGTTTATTACCCAGAGGATGCAGTATAGAAATACCCAGCATACATCATATTTTACAAACTTTCTTTTTGCCTAAATTTGCTAAATTTAATCATTCAATTTGATTGCTTACAGATTCGTTACTGGGCTGCTCATGATAAAGAAGCAGCTGCACAGCGGGTACAAGTGAGCAATCAAGAATATTCAACTAAACTGGAAAACCTGAAGCCTAACACACGCTACCATGTAGATGTTTCTGCCTTCAATAGTGCAGGCTATGGTCCTCCCAGTAGAACCATCGATGTTGTTACCAGGAAAGCACGTAAGTAAATGGAGCATTAGGTTATGTATAGTGTCATATACCTCATTATTGCATGTTGCATCATGTCCATCATGTCTTCAAACTTGGCATCGCATTCATATACCCAGTGGTCTACCTTTATGTTGTATTGGTTCTTGGTCTGAAAAGTTCTACCAAGGTTCTCCTCCCTCTCTTTTGTTGTCATGTACAACATGGATATCTTATGTAAAATGGTAAGGAGACACAGATTATAGGCTAATAAGATAATTCAGGCTGGAGGGGATTCAAAAGGTCCACCCTTCTCTACAAAGCTGCGTCGGTTACAAGCTCAGACCAGGTTGTTCAGGGTCTTGATCCAGCTGGGTCTTGCAAACCTCCAGGAATACAGACTGCATGACCTCCCTCTTTGGTAAACCTGTTTGACTCCCCGACTCATTTATCTAGCGTCTAGTCTGAGCCTCTTTTAATCAGGTTTGTGCTTTTTGTCACTCATCCTCCTGCCATGCACCATTTTGAAGAGCTTGGGTCCATCCTGAAAACCTCCTTATAAAAACAGACAGGTGGCTCTGAGGCTCCCTCCAAAGCAGTCTCTTCTCCAGAGGAAAAAAGCCCAGCTCTCTCAACCTCCCTTCATGGGACAGGTGCTCCAGCTCCCCACCAGGTCGGTGGCCCTCTGTTGAACTCACTTCAGGATAACAGCATCTTTCTTGTACTGGGGGGCCCAGAGCTGGGCGTGATATTTGAAGCAATGAACAATTCAGATCAGCTGTTACTTGGGCAACTATACCCTGACTTTACATTTAATCAACAGCAAGAAGGATTATATTCAGACTTTTAAAATGTGGCCAATTGCCTTTTTCATTAACAGTAGAGGGATCCAGGATCAGGGAACCTTGAAAAGTGGGTGATCTGATTCACATCCTTGAATTTACATGCCATACTAACTTTCTTAGTATAGCTCCTGACTTAGTGATGATACCTAGCACTGACATATGCTGTGAAGTGTTCAATTAAGAAACAAATCTTGTATATTTAAACACAATTATATGGGCTAAAATATGTACAACTAATTTGAGGATTTCTGTCAAGTAAATAGTGTGTTGTGGAACTTGGGCCTGCAGGTTTCTTTTGTGTTGAATAAGATTACTCCATTTTTATATGCTTATTGTGTGAAACGTAATTAATGGTTTCTGCAGTGGGGTGTTCTGATTTCTACTGAGTTAAATGATGTAGAAATGCCTTTAAATGGTTAATTAAGTATTTAATGTCAATGAATAAATATGAATTCAGCCCATTGCTGGGAGGTTCTGTACGTAGTTATAGTGCATTCCAGCAAACACACATGGTCAGCAACGGTGAAGGGTAATGTTGGCCACTTCCATTTTGGCAACACAGAAAGGCAAACCCACAAATCACCCACTTCCCAAGGCATCCAAAATTGCCTGGCTGGAGCTGTATCAGTTCATTCCAGGAAAGAGACTATCCCTTAATCATATAATGATCAGCCATAATTTCCCTTTCTACATTTTTACATTGAATGTTTATGCAATCTCATTTATGTGCACATTTTATACATACGTTGTTTTTCAGCTCCAAGCCAACGTCCAAGAATTATCAGTTCTGTAAGATATGGTTCAAGGTACATCATCACCTGGGATCATGTGAAGGCGATGTCTAATGAGTCTGCAGTTGAAGGCTACAAGGTATGATCTACGAAAATATTTTTTATCTTTGTGGATGCTACATGAGGTATATTTTATAGACAGTGTTGAATTTTGGTACCTACTAAGGCTTAAGCATAGTTGCATGCTAAAGATGAAGGGATCATGCTTAGAGATCACAGACAGCCAGTGCTTAGGGCAAAGCCAGTGAGCTTAGTTGATATGGTGAGAAAACACTGGGGCACTGAAATTCATTTGTCAGGTGATCCATTTGTTTGGAAACTTTAGATCAGTGACTGCAGCAACCTGATGTAATCCCATATGATTACATTTATTGCCTATTGGCTAAAAATAATGCTTAGAAAATGTACACTTTAATAGTTTTTCCATATACCGGTATACATTGTTCCAGCTTTTCTTTCTCTCCATGGGAGCTACAGCTCCTGGAACGTGAGTACTTTAAAGTCTGGGAAGGTAGAGGAAGGGAAGGGACACTTAACCTCATTAGATGCAATTACTGTATAACTACAGCAAGTGTATATACTAACTATAGGGTGTATAGAAAGCTTAAAAAATTAATTCCTGTTAAACTTTGCTGCTTGCTTGGCAGTAAGAAAATTAGTGTCATGTTCTACGTTTACAAATTTTGCTTAAGAAGTTGAACTGCTTCCTGGAAAGTGCTGAAAATGTTTAACAGAGTTGATTCCAGAGAGTGGAGAGCTTTTCCAAAGGTCCCAAAAGGCCATCATATTTGCAATATTTTAACAACACTGAGAGTTAATAATAAAATTAATAATTGTTTCATTTATGAAAATGGTAATAAATCCTATGTCAGAAAGCCAAGCTGAGTTCTATGATTTTTATTTGATGGTCTTTGCTACCCTGCATTGTTCTCCTCCAGTATTTAATTATTTATTTTGAATGTGGGGGCTGAAATGATTTTTTAAAAGGTGACATAATTTTATAACATAAAAACAATAAGGAAACAACCTGTCTAGATTCACCCTATGTAAAAATGGAAAAAGTAGTATCTACTACCAAGTTTTTATATATATATATATATA